AAGCATCTGCTAAATGACTAAATGTAAATGTAAATGTAAATGTATTCTTTAATAATTGCACTGTCCATGAAGCGGACCTGACTTACATTTCACAGCTGGTCATATATTCTCTATATAACCATGTATGTGACAAATAAAAAATCTTGAATCTTGAAATCTTGAATCTTGAGATGATAATCAGACTAGGACAAATTACTACATGACCTGGGTTAATTTTACACTGTTTTTTAAACAGATCTATTGCTCAACTGTGTTTCTAGACTTAATGTAAGCTGCCATTGCTCAATCATTCAGCATCCAAAACCATGCAGATCATGTTTTCACATCACATTGACATATAAAAACATGAAGATTATATATTCTAATATCAATTTGCCATATATAAATTTGGGTATCAAAACCACATAGAAAATATATTACAGATATTACACATATATATTAAAAACAGACATTTATTTATATTCTGATATCACACCTAAATTTAAAATAATATAGATCATATAGTTAGATATCACATTTAAATATCAAATCAAACATATTCTGATATAACAAATACAAATAAAACATACAGATTAGATATTCTGAGAACTCATCTACTTTTAAAATCATAAGAATTATATATTTGATATCACATCTACATATACAGCTTCAATTTAAGAACATATTTGAGTTTAACTACTATAGAAAACTTGTATTTACGCCTGTTTGATCAGTTTTGATCTAATAAACCTAATAAATATCGGTGGATAAAATATTTAGGCAGAGGAACAGTGAAGTTACTGACCTGGTTAGCTTAATAATTAACATCTAACAGGTTTAAGAGAGTGAAAATCAAAATAGCTGAATGCATCAATCATTTGACTTCCATATCATGCCTTTAAAAACACTAACATATGCTCTTTTCATATGCAAGTTTTGAGACTAGAAACTCCAGTGAAAAGACTGATGAATAAGCAGTTAGACATCAACAATCTTCTGAAATCTATCTGGACAGATGTGTTAGCCTGATGCTTAGCATACACAAGAAGAGGCTGAAGAACGCCGTGATCTTTTAAGAAAACATATATTTTGTCGTCAATATTTCGTTGTGATGCCCTCTAATGTTTCTATATCCCTAAAGATACTTAAACGTTATTTGTTATTTATATAAACTTCGCTTAGCAACTGACTGTTGGCTTGCTAACGTCAACAGCGTGTAGCAACTCTGAATGTACACAACTGTCTTACCTCTTCAATTTCATGAATCACTTTACAGACACGGAGACTATGGACGTGGACTCTGCTCAAAACGGCGGTCTGGTCCTCATACATGTACAATAATCGTGTGTGGGGATAATTTAAACGGTTTGGTGAAGCTTGATAATAAGCCCATTTTTTTGTTCCTCTACTAAAATGTAGGTACATCCGGGACATGAGCAAGCGTGGGGCAACATCCGGGGAATGTAGGAAACGCTTCGTCTTAAACAATAAATTCTTGTGATGTGTAAATAGGCTTTTTAGGCGGTTACGAATAAATGTACAAGAAAAGAGAATAGGTCTTTGTATAGATTATATTTATTTATTTTTTTTAATGATGAAAAACACAACACTGCATTGCCCCTTTACCTATGAAAAATCACCATGGTAACCACAGTGTCATTGTTACTAATGTAAAAACTTAAAGGCAGGGTATGTGATTTTTCAAAAACACTTTAGAAAACTGATTCGGGCCGAATAGCAAAACAAACTTGTAGCCAATCAGCAATAAGGGGCGTGTCTACTCGTGATGTGGAGGAGAGAGCTTTCAATGCGTTACACCAAATACACAAAATAATGTTCTTTTTAGCAGCATCATATGACCCCTTTAAACAATAAAATGGGTTCATCTTAAACCCTGTGAGAAATCTTGATAATTCTGTTTAATTTCTTTCTTTGCAGTTGTAGCTGATTTGAATTCAATAATATCAAAATGGCTTTTTTTTCTACACAGGAAATTCACTTTAGCAGATATACTTATTAAAACTTATAGCCTATTATTCAGGGAAAACAGTCACCTGCAGCTGACTAATAAGTAGCAAATCACATGTTTTTGGTTACAACAAATAAGCTACAGAGAACGTTCTTTGATCATTGTTATTTGGATCCCAAAAAATAATTAAACGGGAACCATATGCTAACATTAGGGGAATGTTCTGTGTTTGCTGGGTGTTGGCTATTTAAAAAGGCATGAGCCCTTAGATATTTCCCAGACTTTCTGTTGTAATAGACAATGGATCAGCACAGGAAAGAAATCTGCACTTGTCAAGCAATTTCATGGTGTCTTTGTAACTGTATAAACTGTGGTTAGTAATGGTATCAGCCATATTAGTTAGAAATGTGAAAAGGACAGTCAGAAACATGTGAACACCTTTACTAAACATTCAATGTACATTTTGACAGCATTTCTGCTGAAAAAAGCAGGTGTAAGCGGGTATAGGTTTATATATATATATAGGCTAGATTATATAACTGATTGCAAATTAAATGACAAAAAATGTAGTTAGTAAATTCATTCATTACATTACACATTTTAGGTAATATAATCAGACTACTTTTTGATTACTTTTAGATTACTTTTGGCCTAACTCGTTTATCAAATTGACTTAAATGGGATAATCTTGTACCATATTGATATAAAAATGTAAAGAAAAAGAAAATGTATCACATTTCTTGTTATTATTGTTATTAATGAAGTGCACTAAGCATTACATTACGTCAAGGTTTCCCAAACTGCGGCTTGTGAAGGAACTGCAGGGTGTTCGCGAGTTTTAATGTAAAGCTAATAATTAAATCATAAAAATGTAAAATGAAAATAAATAATTTTAAAATAACAACAATCAAAATAAAATACTTACTTAAAAAATTCAATCATTTGTTCACCTGCATGTAATGTAACCATTAACCAACATCACAGAACTGTGAACATGCAAATACTTAAGTATCTTATTACCTTAAAATCTCAGGCGGTCTTCAAATAAATATAATAGGTGAAAGAGATTCTGCTAACAAAAAAAGTTTGGGAATCCCTGCATTACATGTAAATAAGAAATAACGTGAATTTGTGCATTTGAATGTGTTTGAAAGAAAAAAGCCTTCCAAAGACATAGTAATACATGGTTAAATAACCTACTGAGTGATAATTCAAACAAAAATGAATGTGTTCATCAGTAGCTGATGCAAAGTTGAAATGTTGAGAAAACACTTCTTAAAATTAAAATTATTTTTGTAAATCCAGTGGCCAAATGCTGTGTGACCTCTCTCATTTGTCTGTGTAGTGACTGGTCTTTGTGTGAATGTCCACACAACTGTAAGACGTTCTGAATGTAGGCCTATATAAGTGGTAGGTTATTTTAGAAAGGAGCATTTAAATATGAAAAAAGGAATTAGGGAGAATCAATAAATTATGAATAATTTATTGCTATTGTGTGAACAATATGTTTTCATGTATAAAAAAAACTGTCTGATTACGAGTATTTTAAAATGTATTTTAATCTAATTACTAGTACTTAATTTTTGGAATCTACTACCCAACTCTCTCTCTCTCTCTCCGTGTGTGTGTGTGTGTGTGTGTGTGTGTGTCCCAAGTTGCCCCAAGTTGTCACAGTGTAATCTGACTATCATACACTCATATAGTAGGCTATATTATTGTTTAGTATAGCATGATTATATCTTTATAGAATTAGTATTAGTACTAAAGTAAACGTTCCCGTGCTTACCGGCAACAGCAAAGTGAATGACGTATCCATCTCCGTCGTACACGCCCCAGTGTGAGTAGCCAATGGGGTACGAGAACTCGATCAAGTCTCCGAACTGCGCGGTGGATAAAACCTGCACCTGTGCGTGACAGTTTCAGTCTGTCAAGATCGAAGATTCCGCCCGCTTACAGCTGTTGCAGGTTTTAGAACAAGTTTGACAACAAATGACGGCTGCATTCTTTAAGTACGATATTTATATCCGATTTTCTAACAAATAATGATTCTCACCCTTACGAAAATTAACTATGGTTTTATTGTAGTAAAAGTGTAGTAACCATGTTTTGTTTTTTTGGCGTATTGATTACCATTTGTATAACCACAGTTTTACTACAAATACCATGGTTAAATTATCTTCTTCTTCTTCTTCTTCTTGGTTTTTAACGGCGGCTGGCACCAACGCAAATAGGTGCATTACCGCCACCTTCTGCTCCGGAATGGTTAAATTATGGAAGAGGAAAAAGGATTTAAATTACTCTGCCAATCCTTG